GCCCAGAGGCTGGAGAGGCGGGGGGCGGGCCGGGGGCGGGCCTGGGCGGGACACCGCGCAGGCCCGCCCACCCCGCCCCTCCCGGGGGACGGAGAAAATCGAAACCGCGCTCCCCTGGGCCCCCGCGACCACGTCACTCTGTGCTCCAGACACATGGGCGGGGGCAGCCAGCCTCCAACAGCTGGGTTTGCACTTTTAATTTTTCCCACTAAGGGCACTGTTGCGTCGTTCGTTCATTCATTGAGTCAGTGATCCATTCATTCATTCCACGAGGTCCGCGCGCCCTGGCCCTGCGCCTCCCCTCTGACTTCCGGGCCCCACACGCCCGGGCGCAGCGCGACCGTGAGCCGGTCCGACTGGGACAGCCGCGGAGGAAACGCGCCGGCGCGGCGCCGCGGGAGTGGGCGCGGGCCGGGGTGACCGCGGAGGCGCGGCGGGGCTGGAAGTGACCGGGACCGCCCTTCCCACCCCCCCGTGGCGCCTGCAGTGCCCGTTCCCCCTCCAGGAGCGGCAGGGCCCCCGAGCGCCCTGCAGGGTCCGGATCCCGCGTCCGATCCACACTCGCCCCTCTGGCCATCGCGCGAACCGGCGCAGGGACGCAAGAGCCCGCTCACGCCGGCAGGACCAAAGAAGACCCAGGCCGGGCCTGCCCACCGGGGGGACGAGGAGCTGATGGCCGGGAGGCCACGAGGGGACCCGCCCTCCCCCGCAGAGGCCTGGGCGGCGGACATCTCCGCGGCACCATGAAACCCTTGGGGACCCCAGCCCCCCAACCCCAGCCACGTGGCCGGCCCTCCCTTCTCAGGGTGCCTTGGGCTGCGCCACGTGGCCGGTGCCCACTCCACCACATCCGCCCTGTGCCCACATTCAGAACCTGCCTGCGAGGACGAATCCAATGCCCCACAGTCACGACTCCCTCCCTTCCCTTCCACCCCGCCACCCCCACCCCCAGGCTTCCCCTGGCTAACCCTGGGGTTTCAGACCTCCAGACATGGTGATTTGGGTCCCTTCTGGTGACTCGAGACAGCGTGTTTAAACCCCTCTAGCCTGATGAGAAGGTGGATGGAGTGACAGGCAGGTGCTGGGATAGTGAGGAAGGAGGGCTGGTCCTTAGCTGTCCAGACTTGAAAGAGGAAGAACATCCTAATGAATAATGATTAATTGTTGGTTAATCACAGCTAACATTTATTGAGTGCTTACTATGTGCTGAGCACCTTTCCTGAGTTAACATGTTTAATCTTCACCACCACTCTATACCACCCGGGGTTCATCCCATTTTACAGATGAGGAAACTGAGCAGGAGAAACCAGAGGTTACAGAGTGAGTGACAAGCCTTGCTGGGTAAGAGCCCAGGAATCTGCAGGCACCCGCAGCTCTGTTCAGTGCCGTCACTGCCCTTTTCTCGTTCCTGCTCTGTGAGGTCAACCGCCCGTGGCTCTTAGGAGGGCCTGCTGAATCCATCTTTCTCTGCAGCTGACCTCACCCCCTCCTCACCTGATCTGTCACCTGCTGTTCCTCCCTCTCCCCGGGCAAACCTCATAAGCTCCC